GCTGAGGATGGGGCCGTCCCGCAGACACTGGCTCAGCTGGTACCCCACAGCCGGGTGCACACACAGGGACTGGGCGAACCCTTCCTGGTGCGGGTGCCGGCTCGCCCGCCCCTTACCCGGCGCCAGTTTGAGGAGGCGGCTGCCCACTGGCCCACGGCTTTCCACGAGAACAAGCGCACCAGCCGGGCACTGGATGGGACCCTCTTCACGGCCCAGGAGTGTGTCTCCATGGCCAGGCACATGGATCAGGCTCTGGACGCTGCCTGCCGTGGGGCTGAGCTTGGAATGGTGCCGGCTGGCGTGGCCGTGGTGGACCCGGCCACGGGGTGTGTGCTGGCCGTGGGGCACGACTGCCGCCGGGGGCTGCACCCACTGCTGCATGCTGCTATGGTGGGCATTGACCTGGTGGCCCACGGACAAGGTGGCGGCGCCTACAGCTACCGGGACTTCGCTTCCTGCTCCTTCCAGCCCCTGGTGGATGGTTCCCCCCATGAGGGGCTGCCCTACATCTGCACTGGCTATGACATGTACCTGACACGCGAGCCCTGTGCCATGTGCGCCATGGCACTTGTTCATGCCCGCATCCACCGGGTATTCTATGGGGTGCCGGCCCCCCAGGGCGCCCTGGGCTCCCGCTATCACATGCACAGCCGCCGCGACCTCAACCACCGCTACGAGGTCTTCCGCGGGGTGCTGGAGGGGCCCTGCCGGCGCCTGGGTATGGAGGGGCTGAACCAGTGACCTCTGCACCCCTTCCTCTGCCCTTCACTGGGCTGTGTGCCTCTTTCTTTTTTTAACCCTTTGTTTTAAAGTTGCGGCTGGCTCGTTTGCAATCTTTTGCCTTGTCTTTTTTAATTAAAGCTGTTGTTTTAATGGGGCCTCCGGCTGCCACTGCACCTCCTGCCCATGCCTGCTGCTCTCGGGGCTGGGAGAGATGGGAAGGGCTTATGGAAACACCCCTGCTCCTCCCACCCAGCTTCCCAGGGAGAAAAAAGCTTCATCAGGGTTGGGGGATGCCTACCTGGCCGGGCCTAGCAGCTGTTGGAGCTCCTGTGGTTCTGGCGTTACCGTATTTCCTTGTGTACCGTGTACACTTTCCTCCAGAAAATGAGCCGAATTGGGGTGTGCACATTCAGTGGGGAAGCTGGGTTTCGGTTTTGGGGGGGGAGGATGTAGGGATAGGGCTGGGTCCCAATGTTCCTTTACCTCCTTCTCCTGCCCCAGAGAAGGGGGAAGACCCTGCTGCTGGTCTAGGTTGGGGAAAAGCTGGCTGGGAGGGGCCTGCTGGAGGCTGGTGTCCCAGGATTCACAGACATGGGGGTGGGTCCTCTGCACCCTACATCCTTGTCCAGCACCTTGGATAAGCCCTGGATACAGAGGGAATCGGAGAGTCACGGGGTGGAACCCCTTTCCTGGGCTGAGCTCCTTGGTGGGCCAGGCCCTAGTGCCCCATACCCCCATCATGGGTCATCAGCTCCCAGTTCCACTGGCTCCCTGGGATCCTGACCTCAGGTCTGTGACCTTTGCCCTCCTGACTTACCTCCCCCCCCTTTGCCCTCCTGACCTTGCCCCTTTTCTGTGACATTTTCCCTTCTGACTTTGCTCCTTCCTTTTTGACCTTTACTTGCCCCTTCTGTGACCTTTGCCCTGTGATCTGATCCCTTCCTACCCAGGCAGGGAAGAGAACAACTGGGGGAGCCTCATATTTGTAGGGGGGAGGCTTTGCCTGCAGGTGCCAGCGAAGGAAGCTGTGCCCCTGGATGTCTAGGCTGGGTGCAGAGAATAGCTAGGAGAGGGATGCACTGGAGGGGCCAGAGGGGTACGAGGAGGCAATAGTTCCTGCAGAGGAGAGTCTGGGGACAAAAAGAGCAAGAAGGGCAGGGTGAGGGAGCTTGTAGAGGCCACAGGGAGCCAGGAGGTCTCTAGGAGCTGGCAATGGCAGTCAATGCCCCTGCCTACAGCTTAAAATTAACAGCCGCTGTGAGCAGGATTTGAACCTGCGCAGGGAGACCCCATTGGATTTCAAGTCCAACGCCTTTACCACTCGGCCATCACAGCTGGGGTGTGAGGGTTGAGAAGCAGCTGAGGAAGGAAGTCTATCTAGTGTAGCTGGGGTGCTGGGGGCAGGGTCCCCTACATGGCTGCCCTAGTGTAGATTGGGCACTGGGGGTGGGGCCCTTCCACACAGCTGTCCTAGTACAGTATAGGATATAACATCTTTCTCCCCTAGGCAGAACAGGGAGCATCTCAGGCAGGGAAACAGGTAGGGGCTGCGACCAGAGGAAGGTGACAGGCAGGGGCTGGAGCAGGGCGCTGGATGCAGACAGGCAAGTCCTGGAACCAGTTTCTCCAGGACCTGCCCCTCAACTGGCTAAGGGATCCCAGGCATCTGGGTACCCGCCTCTGTGGAGCCCCAAGACCCGCAGCACAGGGCAGTGCCCATGGCACCAGCAACCGACCCCAGCTTGCCCAGCCCCATGACAGGCAGCAGGCACCCCACCTCTCCATCAGACTGCAGATGGCCTCCCTGCTGCCGTCCTCCTTTCTTATATACCCTGGAAGAGGTGGAGCCAGGAGGGGGGCGGGCCCATAGCCTTAAAGGGCCACACGCCCAGCTCTGCCCCAGCACCACGGTCATGGGGAAAGGGCTCCCACGGCCCTGCCCACACCTCCATGGCCCATCAGCTAGGTCAGGCAAGAGGTACTCCCTCAGCCAGACTGTTTTATGGCCCCAGGTGATGCAGTGC